GCCTAAGTCACCAGCCCCGCAACGCATGGACATGGATATTAGTGGGGACAATCATGAACGTGGAGAGAAGGGAGCTCGCAAACGGCTGGTTAATGCGGATGTCTCTCTTACTATTATGGGGCAGACCATTTCAAACCTTGGAAGGTAGCTGGGATGGTAAAGCTACTCAAAGGTGCTACCCCGAGCTCAAGCAATACTGTGACGGTATCCACACCAGAGAAAGATCCGCTGGTCAAGAGGAGGAAGCAACAAGATGATGAGGAGTTGATCAAGGCACAAGCAATGGAGGCGGCCTCCTTCGAGGAGGGTTGTCGAACCAAATGAGAGCTTTATGCTGGAATTGTCGTGGGATTGGCGACCCTGCGACAGTCCATGAGCTCCGCTATCTCGTGGGGGCTAGTGCGCCATCGGTTCTTTGCATTGTGGAGACTCAATTAGCAAAAAATCGAGTGGAAGGCTTGGCGGCCTCTTTAGGTTTTCAAAACAGCTTTGCAGTATCTAGTAGTGGTTGTAGTGGTGGTCTTTGTATTTTCTGGAAGGCAGATGTTAATTTGATAATAAAGAATTTCTCGCAGTATCACATAGACTCCTGGGTATCTGAACTAGGGTCTGAGCAATGGCGCCTCACATGCTTTTATGGAGAGGCAAACCGGAGCCTGAGGTACAAAACATGGGATACCATGAAAATGTTGAGGGAAGAAAGCACATTACCTTGGCTCTGCATGGGCGATTTCAATGAGATACTTCGCCAGGAGGAGCAGATGGGCCCTAACCCGTGGGATAGCGGTCAAATGGAGGGGTTTAGGGAAGCTGTGGATGTATGTGAGCTGGCGGATTTGTGCTATACCGGCTTAGACTGGACTTTTGAGAAACGTGTTACAGGAGGCCAGTTTTGTAGGGTCCGGTTGGACTGGGCTCTAGCTTTGGCAAGTTGGTCGAACATGTTCCCGTTTGCACAAGTGGAGCATCTAACAACAGTTAGGAGTGATCATAGCCCTATCCTGCTTATGAATGAAATGGAAGCTGGGAATCAGCGCATCGCGGTGAAGAAACCTTTTTGCTATGAATGTGTCTGGGAGAGAGATGGTCCTTTCAAGGATGTTGTGGAAGCTGCATGGAATGGCGATGGACCTGCCTCGCCGGTGACGAAGTTGGCCAACAAACTACAGTCGGTGGCCACTTCTCTTTCGAGGTGGGGATTGAGCTCTTTTGGATCGGTTCGGCAGGAGCAAAGATTGCTTCGACGGAAACTTGCTATGCTGCGTGCAGATCTGATGAGAACCGGACCAAGCGAGGAGGAACGCAAGGTCGAGGAGCGCATGGTGGAACTGGCGTACAGAGAGGAAATTATGGCGAGACAGCGGTCACGCATCACATGGCTGTCCGAGGGTGATAGTAACACCAAGTTTTTCCAGAGGAAGGCTAGTGCTAGACGGGCCAAAAACAACATAACCCAACTTGATCGTGCTGATGGGACTACTTGCACGGATCCGGTGGAACTGGAAAATATGGCTACGACATTTTATTCAAATCTCTATACGTCGGAAGGAACAATAGGTATGGAAGAGGTGTTATCGCACATACCGGTGAGGGTGGATGGTAATATGAACGCCTGCCTAAATGCCACTTATAGTAATGATGAGGTTAAGGAAGCTCTCTTTCAAATGTTTCCAACTAAGGCACCGGGGCCGGACGGTTTTCCTGCAAATTTTTTCCAGAAGCATTGGGACTTATGTGGTGATGAAGTTACGAGGATGATCATCAGAGTGCTTGATGGTGTGGACTCACCGGAGGAGATAAATAGCATGTTCACCATTTTAATTCCAAAGATAGCAAGTCCAAAGGTTTTAGGACAGTTTCGGCCGATAAGCCTTTGT